CATTATATTGTTTTTTTTTGCATCGTTTAATTTGTATTATCTGTTTTATTTTTTCTTATCAATTTTAGTAATTTGTTTTTGCGCCATCTATATTGGTTTAAATAGACTACATTACTCTCGCTTTTCTTACGACCGCTAAAACTTACATAACTACATACATACTTAGTTTATTTTTATATATTTCTTTTTATACATATATACGTACATACATAAGTATATATTTTTATTTTGAATTTCATGCACAAAATTACATACAATAATAGTAAGTTAATTTTTTAATCCTTTGTGAGCATTGTAACCTCAAACATTTCACATACATACATACATACATACAGACTTTGTATATTCTATGCGATTTTTATTGATTTCGTTTTCCATTTTTCTTCCTTATAAATAAATTAAATTTACTTAGTTCTCTTTTTTGTTCTATTGTGTTTATATCATTGGTTAAATCCATCTATTCAGAAAGTATTTATGTAGATTTACATAGATACTTTTTTGTGAATCAACAAAGACCATTTCTTAATCTTATAATTAATTTGAATGGGATACCTATTAATGCATTTCTCCATTTTTTGGAGGAACGCTATAAAGTTTTTTTTTTTTAATTTGTTTTTAAATTAAATTATTTATACTGAAACTTTTCACCATTACATATTTACATATTTATGCAAACAGGAAAGTACAATAAGGACAGAGACTGAGTTGATTTCTCTATTAAACCGAATTGCCCGTGCTTCAAAAGGTCTATGAGTATATTTTTGGAAAATCGTTATCTGAATGAAAAAAAATAATCATCATAAAATTTAGATACCTTAAATTTCAAAACTACAATTTCCGTTAAACAAATGTCACCTAGAAAATTTCAACAGCCTAAGCAATGTTCGGAAGTATTGACCGCTTTGTGTAAGGCATCTGAAAGTGTTTTTTTTATTACAAATATTTTGTAATAAGTTTTGATTAAAATTAAGCCTTACGGCCCTATTCCTACGCAATGGTAAAACTTGCCGACATTACAATGGTTATAGCGTTTTCGTCTTCTTTTAAGCGTTTACAAGCTAGTTTTTGTGGCAATCGTACAGTAGACCCACGATATAGGGAACCAATTCGCGCAAGGACTGCTCAAGTAACTCAGATATTTTATTGTACTTAAACCAAGAAAAGCAAATCTATGCTATAATTTCGCAGATAACTCTGCTAGCTATTGTTTATCTTACCACTGAAAAGAACTGAACTATAAATTCATATTTGCAGACATGTTTTAAATTACGAAAGCAATAGTTAAGGTTTAATCTTTGTTGTTGGAACATCGACATATTTCGGCAGTCAGACCGAATGCTGAGATAGAGCATTCTTCAATCAAATTCTGAGTTCTACCGAAGTTATCCTATATCAAGCCTAAAGTTAAATTCCTGAAAAGGACACCTGTAAAGTGATAACCACAATGATCAGCAAAGGATCTCAAATTTGGTAACCTATGCAATGGAAGCTCGAGGAAGAGAATACAGGAATAGGCAGTTTTGGACGCCAGAAGAGAATTCTTGCAATAGAAATCTTTCACTGAACAATCAGGCAGAAGAAAGGGTCTTGGACTCATGTAAAACGTCATAAAGGCAAGTTAATAGTTGCAAACGTCTTTCAAATGCAACAACAAAATTACTCGTAGAATATGCTGAGTCGCAAAAAGGCTTCAGCCTTTCTGTAGTTGACCAAGAGGATACACAGCAAATCCTCTATTTATGAAGGCGTGAGAATTCTTAGATTGCCGCGCTGTGGCGCATGTGAAAGCGGAAGTACATTTATGGCTTCCTCCCGAGTGGTCTCTTATCTGGCTACGTATACTACATATTAAGACCCTACTAAAATTATAATCATTAAATAACGAAAATTGGGGAAATTTTGAAAGACGCGCGACTTAGTGGGTAAATCTTGGAAATACATTCAGCTCCATCTACGAACTAATCAATTACAAAAAAGGAAAAATATAGGCGTAGTCCGCAAACCTATATTACAGGTGCCAGAAATCGTTTAAAAATTAGTTCAAATTTTTTTAAATATATATTTTTTTAGTTTTTCGAAGAAGTGACCTTTAACCCCCTATAGCATCGGTAATATTAGTTTGCACAAAAAAAGTTATATACCGTTTAAATAAGAGCAAAAGGCGGACCAATTTCGAACTTCGAAGGCCCATAGCTCGATTTTGGCTGCCAACTTCGAAAAACGGAGAAATTCCTTTTTAATTATGACTCAATTTCATAAAAAAAATTTTTTGGTCCAATACCGAGCCGAGTGCTGTACAGTGTAATTTTTAGGAAAACTTAAAGAAAATACTGATAGTTTTTTTTCTTAAGGTCATTAAGGTAAAAAATACCCATTTTGGAACGAGTACCAGTTTTAAAACGATAATATAAATTTTATTTTATTTTTCTGAAAAATTATATTTGTGTCATGTTATAACGCACTTTCAAAATTTTCAAATTACTTAATTTTCAATTTTTACTTTTTTTGTTTTATTTTCGAATTTGTACCATTTTACATAGTTGAAAGTCACAGCAAGTGTGAATATTCTCGCAGGTTTGTTTAGAAAATAACAAAACTTCCAAATTTTGAATGTTATGAAATTATTAAATTTCTTGAGATTTCTTATTTCTAGGATAATTTCCAAAATTTCAAAAACTATCGAAATCTGGGAGTTTCTAGAAATTGTGGTAAAATGAGAATATTTTGAAATGTACAAAATTATTGAGATTTTGGAAAGTTTTATATTTTCCAAATTTTTCAGAATTTTATTTATTCTGAAATCAAATTGACGAAAAAATCTTTTGTTCATGGTACTTGTGTATAGAACCTTCAAAATTCTTAGAATTCTAAAATATAATAACATATTTTGAGCTTTGTCTACTTCAGTACATACTATTTTATTATGTTATATTCACGATATATGTTGAAAAAACATTCCCCCCCCCACTGCTGGGTCCGCCCCTGAAAGTATATGCATCCATTTTTTTTGCTTCAGGTTTATTGTTTTCATTTTGCTTTTCACGTCATTCTCGAAGGCTTTGTAACACGAGCAATCTCAGAAATTTTATTTATCTTGGACCGTAAGTTAGTTATTTCTTCAAGTGAGTTAATAAGTCATTTAAATACGTGCGTCTTACAACTAAACAAAATACATATGTATGTATGTAGTACATATATACTTACATACACTTAATCGAAATACCCTATATGCTACACTAAACTATAGGTGTGAGTTATGCCTAAATAAGTAGGTTTACATATTGTTATGTATGGTATATACTAATTAGGCTTACAACAAAATATAGTAAATTAGAGAAGTGTTATTGCCTGTGCGGAAAATTGAGCACACACTTCACTTAACTACATACAAGTAGATAAACAAACATATGTATGGATATAACACACACACACACATACACGCGCACTTAAATTATATCTAAACTTAATTATGAAACTACTTACAAAGAATTTCTCTTTAATTAAGCTGCTAGCGTTTGAAAATAAATAAAATGGATGTGTCCACCATATCTTTGCTTTTGAGGATTAAATATGTAAATGCATCTTACAATTATGGAATTTTGTTTCTACATACAATGCGGAGCTTTTCGGGAGCTGCCTGCGCGCCTAAAAATATACATACATGCATACATACATACATACAATTACGCGGAGGGTATCAAATTTCAGCTCATCTTATTCACTTATCTTCCCTTAAAAGCTATATATTTTTGTTTTCATAAATATATATATGTAATCATAAATTGTTTAGACATCAATTCGGTTGATAGGTTTTCTTTTACATTCAACTTTTTTATTTGGTAGCTTAATTGCGCTGTTAATTACAGTTATTCGTTTAACATTTCGTTTCTTATATTATTCATATACATACATACATACATACATACTTAACTATACAGATAGATATACATATATGTTTATGTACATATGTACGCATGCAATTGAGTAGTTAAGTCGTTTAATATGAAACTTTGCCATGCAGCAGCCGCACGTAAGGATTATCTAGTGTAGAGAGGGAGCGAGTGAGTAGCACTGCAACTTTTTCAATATTTGTAAATAGGTATGTATTATTATTTGCTTTTTCCCCCTACTAAATATTTTTCTTATCGCCGCATGTTTTTATCGCTTTCTTGTCACCGCCATGTGTTGTTGAGTAGTTGCATTTCATCCATTAATTATTTTTTGATATTATGTAATAATCTCTTCTTTTTTTCGTAATTATTTATGTACTTATTTACAGGTGTGTTCTTCGAGCACCTTCACACAGACATCACATTTGACCTGGCAGCACCAGTGAAATTTGCAATTACATCGCTCGCGTACCACAATGTTTTTGGTGTTGTAGCCTCGACCGCAACATAAAATGCCGCAACCATCCAGACCGGAGGATGTCTTATTGCAGATGCGGCCGTGAGTGCCTATAGATGAAAAAAAAGAGATAAAGTTGATTGTAAAAAAATTTAAGTTTCCTAGAGAGCAAGAAAAAATAGTATATAGCGCAAACAGAGAGTCATTGAAAGAGTTATATGGCAATATAGAAAATACGATCGAGATAGCTAGACTCTATTAACCGTTGTCCAAAAAACCCATCCATGGCAAACCGTATATGTATGCACATAGGTAAGTTAAACGGGAAATGAACTATGGAAGCTAACAAAATTGTATATATAAACTTTACATCACTTTTCGATAGCTCTGATTGTTTCTGACAAATTAATTAATCATTCCATACGGTCAAAACGGCCCTTAGACGATAGAAGGTTAAGTATCGATTAAGGTCTGCTTATTCCCGAAGAAGCTTGTAGCAGATGTCGTCATCCATGGGAAACGCCTTCCTTATTAACCGACTTCAAAAAAAGGAGGAGGTTATCAGTTCGCCGATATCTTTATTTTTTTTTATGTATGTTACCGCATAACTTTGGACCAAGTAAACCGATTTCGATAATTTTTTTTTCATCGGAAAACCTTGTTTAGATCCGATAATTGGATCGTGAAGAAATTAACGGTAATCTTAAATTTTTGTATGACAATTGAAGTCGGTTTTGTTTCTTGCTTAAAAAGTACTTGTATTAAAAAATATTTGTGAAATTGTGGAAGTCAAACATATGTATGTTTATGTATTTTTAGATACATTTATCTGCCTTTAGGTATAGCTTTTCCCACAAAATACAATTTAAAAGATGGCATTTTCCATACCGGGTAAGGCCATCAATTTGGACTCGTTCAATTCCCCGGTCATGGACGGTGTTTTCCAAGCTATGCTGTAAAAGGCTGCTCACCCGGTGGTACCGTGGCTAGAGCATACATACATACATGTAAAAAAATACAGAATTTTGGTCGAAAATAATTTTGAATCCAGAACATTACTTACTCTTTCTTGCATAACTTTAAAATACATAATTTTGACACGAAATAATTTTAACTGCAAAGCATTTTTTCACATTTTTTTTTGAAGCTCTCAATGCTTCCTCTCACAAATATACCAGGGTTATTCCGTTACAGAAAAAATTTTATCGATTTCGAAGTATATATAGAATGTACCAAATTTTTTACTCACCTGGCCACTGCAGCTGTCGACTGTTGCGACACCAATCGGGACTCTCGTCCAGATAAACCAAATCATGCGCCGTTGGCACTTTAAATTGTGGATCCTTCACCTGTAGTCGTCCACGTTTGTTGAGTTTCACCTCGGTAGA